ACCTCAGTGCATTTTTTTTTAAATGACGGATTCATACTGGATGGAATGTGCCTTGATTTGATTGATACAATCGTTATTTTGGATATTCATTCAACCGAATTGACACGTTGTCCTATGGTTGTAAAATGGCATAAACAAGTTCTTGTGAGATGTGTGTGGGTGTGAAAATGTAATTTAAGGGATGGCACATTAGCCATCAGAATCCGTTATGGTCAGTCCACTTCTGAATGGTGCCCTACACACCCCACTAAAACTCACGGTTTTACAATGCAACAATCCACATATATCCAGCACATGCACATGAGCTTATATTTATTTGCTCATGTGAACGTCCTCTCAGGAATGTTCCTTCCTATGGCTGTCACTCCATCGTTAACCTCAACCCCTGGCCATCACCCCTTATTTCACAAAGCACATTATACACCAATAAATACAACTTATCTGCCGTTTAATTACAATATTTTGACACCCTTGAAATTCCCATGATACGGTGGTATATGACTCATTATTAATATTGATATGGCCTAAATAATTACTTGTTGTATATAATAGCTTAAATATTTATTCATATTAGTACGCATGTGCAGGCTAGGTTCCCACGTTTACAATGTGATGGTAAGACAGTAATGTACAGTGCAGTATTATAATTCCCTAATCTTTAAAATGGCTGGTTGCTCAGCAATAGCAGTGTCATGCTTTACAGGTGAAACATCAACATTATAACTGTGTGATTATTTGATATTATATTAATACAAATTTTAATCAACAAAAATACATTTTCGCCATTCTTAATCCACAAAAAAATCATCCCCATGCTGGTCGGTGCCACTGATGTGAGCTGTGATCAGGAATCTAACACATATGTCAGGGCCATATCGCAGCACGTTAATCACTCTGCCCCCGCATCACCACTCGACGTATCACAGGTACTTGTGGAACGTTTCGCAATGTACCATCATAGTGTGTGGACATGGCTGTTGTGAAATTAAACCTGCAAGGATGTCTTTGCATTGCACATTTCGGATATAGTGCAACTCCTGCTAAACAACGTTCAGGTGTGATGCTCTTGGCCCAAGTTCACAACAGAGATTGGCTGTTGGTATGGTGATGAAACGGAGTGTGGGGAGGGTAGTTGAGCACATGTCCATGAAATGCATACATCAAAATCCCATAATATTTCTGACAATTACAAGGCATTTGTTTACATGTATAATAATTGAATTCACAAATCTCTGCATTTCAATATTTTATTTTAAAAATTTGTGTATGCTCTTAAACGTTTCCGAAGTGAGAGGTGCTCTATAATTCTGACAGCCACCAGCATATTGGCTGCCATTATAGAATGGGAAGCAAATGGAAACGGGATAGAAAGCGCTGCGACGGGGAGCATGCAAACATTCACATTTAAAAAAGTAGATTCCACTCTAAATCCTGAGTGGAGGTTGCAGCGTGCTAAGTGCTTGAAAAATATTTGCATGGCTATATGGAATCTTAAGTAAACCCCCGCGCCCATAACAGTAGGCTTTTACAACAATACGGAAAACCATTACGGTTTATGGCACAGTGCAGTGGAAATGTCCAGGGCTTGTTGTGTTCCGTAAAATGAAGGTGGTCTGCTTGGCCATCAAAGTCCCCCGCCCCCAGCTGCTCTGCTTGAATGAGAAGCCTGAAATGTATTGAGATTTGCTCAAAAGGTTGCTTGGAGCCATTTCCTTGCCTTGGGCAGGGTGCTGTAAATCGCTCAACAAACATTCGCCCGGCTCTGGAGCTGGAACTAAACCCTTTATCAAGACCATGCTAGGGAGTAGTTGGCAGACAGACACTCAAACAATGCTCGAGCTGAGTGGGTAATTACCTTCCTTTCCTTTAATCATTGGAACTAAGTAATTACAATGGAAATGGGCATGGGGTGCCTTGAGGTAGCTTTGGGGACAGATTGCTACATATGTGGTTAGAAATGCAATTTCGACGTAATGGACCGAAAGAATGGTTTATTGATCATGTAGGAATCTATTTTGGTGCTTGATTTTTTTTCTGATCGGTCTAAATATATAGTAAAAGAGCAGTGTGACCAATGAATGCCAGACATACATCATCAGATTTTTAAAGCATAAGCTGGAGATGAGCGAGTCCTCAGGCCAACGGATAAAATATGAACACTACATCTAGTTATTTTTTTGCATTTAGCAAATAACATTACTCAGCGTTCCCTATATCCACAAATAAACGAGAGTTTCAATGTTTCTAATTTATAAGGCAGCACTCGGTGAGGTTTTATGCAATATTAAACCAAGCAGTGTTTATTTAGCACGTCTGACTCCAATGATGAACCACAGAAGGCGAAACCGGCACCGGAGTTTGCTTGCTTAACCAAATGCTGTTTGTTGATAACGAGTCTGTTAAGTCAATAGAACAGGACTAAAAGCATTTAATTTAGTAAGATTATGGCACAAAAGTTGATTATTTATATTTGTGTAAAATTAACAGGGAAGTCGAGAACAATGACGGAAGGCGAGTTATTTATTACGAAGAACGCACCCTGACGTCACTCGGTAAGGTTCGCTATGCTAAGGTGATGTTGTCGTTTGAAAACACCTTGTACATTTTAAATGTTTGGTAGCGTTCTCCATCCCGTTTGATGCATTTCGTATATCCAGCGCCGACATGTATCTATGTGTTGTTCAGCAGGATCGTATGTATTTAAAGTCTAACGTGATGGCAAAGCCACGTAATATGTACACTTGTACTGTGGGAAACTGCTGAGGCTAAACATATACTTTTACCGATACATTAATGAGGTGATGTTAATGTTACTTCTTATTAAACCGGCTATGCAGTATTGGTGCAGTGGTTAAGCACAACGCATTTTTAACTCAGCAACCAGTTTTATTTCCGGCCACGGCTAACATTAGCGGCGAGTGAAATACTGAATCGGTCTTGCAACCCCCTTCTTCACAAATCCACACTGACAAGTCTGGTGTCTACAGTCAAGCAAACCCCCATAATCAACACGGCATGGGGAGGTCTTCATCCAATAGTGGCTAGACAAAGGCCTTTACATTATTAAATCAGTAAAAAACAAGGCACTTCAAAATGTATTTAAAATGCAGACCTTTCCCATTCAACACTAATACCAGTCTAATTTTATAATCCATCAGCAGTGGAATGTCATCCTGTTTCCAGAAAGCTGATAACGCTACCATTCCACCTCCGTGCACAGGAATAACAAGAATAAAGGATATGGTACAACCACGATGCAGAATTCAGTGGGGTGAGGGCAGCAGCAGCAGCAGCAACGTTTCTGTGTAATTCAAACAAAAAGTGACTAAATGGAACGGAGATTCGTTCACAAGAGAAACGGGAAATAGTAACTGTGGTGTGATTTTCGTCAATTCACAGGATTTGAAATACTGTTGCATTTTTGTGGAACGAACCAAGCCTAAGGTGACCTGCTTTTGTGAATCTTATCACGGGTTCAACTTTCACTTTATATCATCGGAGGTTTGCACTTGTGGGATTTCTCTGCTGACGTTACAAGTCAAATACGGGAAATGCATTGTACCAATCAGATTAAAAATATTTTAGACACTTTGTTGGCGGTGGTGGACAAGAACACATTTAATACAACTCACTACGTGTCATTAAAGCAATATATAATTTGCAATCCTTTGTCAATCCACTGCTGGATGAAGGCCTCCCCCATGCCATGTCGGTCATGAGGGTTGTTTGGCCAGAGGGAGACAACAAACAAGACAGCGAGGCAGAGACAAAGGAACATGGAGACAGATAAAGAGAGAGATAGAGGCAGCAAGTTTGAGAGAAAATGGGAGATAAACAGGAAACAGGCAGATGACTTGCCAGTTAAAATAATTCAGATTTGCAGAATATCTAATATACCGAGTAGCAAAGAGTGTTTTGCACTGTGCCCCAAACAAATATCCTTACGCTTGAGCCAGTGGCCCCTCTTTGGAGTGGACAGAGCGGAGAGAAAGCCCGAGATGTGATGGCTAAGGCAATCACACTTTACACTCTGATGGCTTAAAACGTCGAACACAACGTATGAAAGTTTTAAACTGTGAACATCGTTTTGATTAACATAGAGTAACAGACCCTTGGATGAAGATCGTTGTGCAGACTTGTGTAACTTAAACGCACCCAGCCCAGTGACGAGCAAGTTTTGTATCCACAAGGCAACATAGCATATCTTAACCTCCAATGTTGTACAAAACTCATCTTTAAGCCCTTTGTATGACTACAGTATCGTGAAGATAATGCAAAAGAGCAGAGGCAAGACTGCAATGTTATGCACTGCGATTAGGAACACAACTTTATCCATTTTTAAATATTGCACCGAGTGTAACCTTCATGGTGTCATCTGAATGTTATCGCGGTTGTCGATGCTTGGCCAGCTTCCTGTTCTTTTTTGTTCTGGGTGCTGACAGAACGTTGATAGCACCAGGCTTTGACGTCAGTGAGCGGGTCATATGTAGTCCTTTTGAAGTTCGAATAATCAGGTTAACATCTCCCCAACGGTGCCAGAAATGCATTGCTGTAAATGGTAAGTTTATAAAGGACACTAAAGCGCGCTGTCTTGCCCCCATTCCAGAAAGAATTCGTTTGTCAGATTAACCTGTGGCCCGTCACCTTCGTGAAGTGGGAACGCTTTGAATCCAGCCCTTTTTTTCACGTCAATGGTACGTTACCTTTCCACAGCTTGCACTTAGTCTGTTGCTACCTTTGCCGGCGGCTTAAGCATTTCATCAGGGCAGTGCTACTCATGAACCCGGAGGCAAGAACAGGAGCAGACCTGTGTCTTGTCGGCCCCTGCCGCAGCTGCCACAGGATGCCGAGTGCAATGGGCGGGCCACTGGTTGGTGACCACACATTCTGAGAATGCGACAGACGACCCAACGTAGTTCCTGTAAATGCAGTCTATTTTACGAACGATTAAATATTTAGAAAATGTAAATACATTAAAAAAATTGGATTCACCATTTATATGAACAGACACTTTTTATTTTGTTTGGCACAGGCATATGCAATTGACAGTACACAGCTGTTACAAAGCATAGGGAGCATTAGATTGGAGAGAAAAAAAACATCACAAGTATCAAAGCCGCACGCTTTAAGCCAAAGCAACACTGGTAAAGTGACCTCTCCGCCAAGCAGATCTCCACATACGAAGCTGAATGGGGCGGGAATGTAGCGTCAAACACAATTGCAAAGTGCAAAATTGAAACAATTCCAAGAATTTACATTTTTAAGGACTTCTTTACACTACTGTACTTACAAACATATAAATATAAACACGATATTTTACAAGCTTTATTCTTTGTACAGAAGAAAAGTATTTTAACAACAAAAAAATAAAAAAAGATAAATAACTGAAGCCCTTGTGTTTTTAGAGTGTGGTAAGGCAACACCATTTTTTTTAAAGGGAACTCAGCCGATGACAACCTCTCCATCTTTTTTGACTATTTTTAACCTTGACATCAATGTCCCGCAAGGCTTTACAAGATCCAGTTTTCGTTTCCAATCTTGCCGGTTTGCAGCTTGATGAAGTAGCTTGACATTGACAAAACTGACTGCTAACCGCCACTGCCACTATTTTGAATCTGCCCCAAACACATTCAAGTGTGAGCACACCGCGAGTGTGGGCTCCTGCAGCGTGGGCTACCGAGAAGTTTGGTTTGAAAGCAAATTGTCTTCATCCTTCACGGACAACTTGACCGCATCCAACGTGATAAAAACAAACCCAAATGGAATGAATGATGTGCATTGGTTCATGTTAAAGTGTTCAATACACCCTCGGTTTTTAAAGGCAGTGTCTTCAAACTCGGCAAAGAAAAAAAATACTGTTTAAATCAATCACCCACGCCGAACAAAACAAGCGTTTGGCTCCGGAGCCACATGGCGCACCCCAAGTTCACGCGTTTTATCATCAAACGAGAGTCCCATCGATATCCCCGTGGGCAGATTGTCACACATAATTGAATGGAGGCAATGTAAGAAGGTCGGCACAGGGGCAAGAATTCCAACACAGGGCCTCTCGATGGCGGGTGGCCAACCGTCTCACATGATGGTGCAGCTCTTGGCTTTGTCGGCAGCCGCTGGGTCAGAGTTGAGCTCCGGGCGACCGCCCAGCCTGGAAATCCGCTGCAGGAGCCTCTTGGAGCGACTTCGCTTGAGTCCACCAGAGAGTCGCCCTCCAGCGGCAGAGCCAGGTGTGGATAGGGCCATGGCGGCTGCGCGGAACACCTCCCGCACGCTGCTCTCCAACGTGCGCGCCGAGCACTCCAGGTAGCGAGCCGCGCCTATCTGTCGCGCCACGCTCGCGCCCTGCGGCGAGCAGACATGAAAGAAAGAGAGAAATCCACTCGTGAGTAAATTCACAGCGTCAAAACGTGCCGAGACTTGGATGTTTTTAATTAGTATTTTAGGCGTGAGCGTTCAAAGATTTGCAATGGCATTGACCGACTTGTATTACCTGTTCGTAGGAGATTGGATTCTGTTGCTGCTCCGAGAACTCAGAGAGGATGCTAAAGTCTGTCCGCAGGTCCGATTTGCAGCCAACAAGGAACACCTTGGTATTGGGGCAGTACTCTTGTATCTCACCCTGCCACTGTAAATAGAAAAACATCATTAGCTTGTTTCTCACACACAAAATGCACATCACACCTGGGAAAAAAAGTGATTTTCGAATCTCTTAAATTGTCCAGGGTTTACATTGGCCAATTCAAGCAGTGATAACACCTTGATGTGTTTTTTTAGTTCATAATCAGAGGTCAAGGTTTAATTGATTTTATGTCACCTCATTGTTAAAACCACACAATTGTGCAACAAATCAAAGTGTGTTGTATTAAATTGCTATCGAGTTCCAGCCTCTCTCTTACGATTAACAATGTATGGCATGTTGTTTCTTGTCAAATCGTGTTCAGATTTAAAAACCCTCAGTTATCGAACCAGGCATTCATATATTCCAGAGCTCCCATGGGTATTGTTAGAGCTGTACTCACGTACAATGTAGACATTTTAAAGAGTAAATCATTTATCTCTTTTAGTGGAGTGCAGGACCAAAAGGCAGCCTGTAAATAATTCACACGTGGGGGCTGCTGTTCCGTGGGAATGGGAATCCAATTAACTTGCTTGAGACAACCTAGCACCCCACTGCTACTTGCTCAAGTAAATAAATACATAAATGGGCGTGTTTCAACAGCCTCTCCAAATATCTCCAGATCATCTTATTCCACCACTGAATGTGCAAACACACAAGCACACGTGTGCTTGCACATTCAGTGTGTACGTATGTGTGCAAATTCTGCGAAGCGGAAGTTAACGTTGCCTAGGGGTTGCATAGCAGTTGTGTTCCATGGGACAGTGAAAATGTGGGGGCACCACAAACTATGACAAACGGTTTGGATATAAAACAGAATAGCATTCCTTATTTACATAGTTATGATTCTAACAGGGCAACATTTTTGTACACGTACAGTGCTTTGTCAATCACACGTACTCGATGAGGGTCTCCCCTTGCCGAGCGGGTTGTTTGACCATACTTCACCACGCTGGTCAGTGCGGGTTTGGTAAAAGTGGACAGTGCAAACGTGAGAGCATAGGACAGCACAACAATGTATTTTTCTGTAATGCCCTCTCACTGCCCACAACATGGCCCCCGCAACAGCTATTATAATCTGCTGGGCATGGTGGTTTCCCATCCAAGTAATATGCAGGCTCAAAAACCTGCTTAACTTCTGAGATCTGGTGCATTGAGGGATTCTGTCATAGGCAAGGCAATATTACTGGAAGTTAACATTTAAAATTTCTATCTCATGTGAAATGCAATGCACATGTAGTGGGGCAAATGGAAAAAAAATCCATGTGGCTTTTTTAAAGTGGGTGCTCTTTGGATATCAAAAAAACTGCTGTCGAATTTCAACTGGAAGACTGCCAAGTACACTTCGATCAACAAGCACTTCTGCCTGAGATGCCTTTGTAATGACTCTGATTGATGGACTGATAGTGCAATTTTTGAGATGTATGAAAACCAGACAAATAAAATTAGTGTTGGGGATTGCGGGAAATATCCTAACAGTTTACAAACTTCCATTAACATGTCATGCAATAGTCTCAATAAGAGTGCTTTATAATAATAATGGCCGAGGAAGCCTTGCAAAAATATTATAACTGACGGACTGGGTGGTCAGGATTTCCAAGATGAAACAAAATGGGATTTTATAAATCCACCCTGCCACATTGAGCAAACACATCCAGAGTCCTGAACGTCTCATCACTAGAATGGATTTGTGAGAAATGAGATTACAAGAGTCCTCTTTGTGTCCAGGCACAAGACACTTCATGGTGCGCGGAATGCAACAGACCTGCGGCACCATCTGTACAACTACTTTGCAAAGACGAGTTACATTTTGTAGATTGTTTTTATTCGCCCGGCAGAACTTCAGTGAAATGGCTCCGACAGTAATTTCCGTGGGCTGCAGACATGTGGCTGTAATTAAACTCTCACTCTGCCACAGCGGTGGGTGTCAAGAGTGGTGTGACTGGGGCCCAGCTGCTCGACAGTCCTTGGCAAACAGATTTCCTTGTTCGACACCATGTTGCAGGACAGACGGCGAGTCAGTGTGGTCCACAGCCACGTAGGTGACGGCAAACAGTAAATGTGCTAAATCGAACAAAAGGTTTTTTGAATGTAATACAATTATTGTTAAAGATCACTCTAAACCAAAATAACTTCGGAAGACAAACTTGTGCGCGTGTAAAAAAGTTTCCACGAGATTTGGAAATGTTTATGCCTCAAAGAAAACAATTATACTTTTTTCAAGGAAAAAGTTGTATTATTAAGTAATTTGCTTTATATGGATGCTTCTGTGGTGTTTTGGTTAGCATACCGTAGTTGGCATTCCAAAAGTCGATGGTTCAATCGCCCGGCATGGCAGTTGAAAGAATGGACATGTTTCTTAAATCCCCCTGCCTCTGTCCACCGAGCAGTATAAACAGATTACCCCAAACCCCAGTTAATGCATCGGCAAGTCGTGTGTGGTCGGGTAAAATATGGGGGACTCCCAATCTCTTCCACGACATCTGGCCAGCATCAAAGAGAAGGCCAAAACTCATTCTAGACTAGTGTTTCATCTCACCTTCTTCAGGACGCTGTCCAGAGTCTCTGGTCGAGCAATGTCAAAGCAGACGAGGATGGCATTGGCGTCGGGGTAGGAAAGGGGCCGCACGTTGTCGTAGTGTGGCAAGCCTGGGAATGACAGTGACCACGAGGCTGTTGAGTGACTGTGGGCAAACCGGGAACTCGAACCAGTTAACTCTCGACAATCCGTGGGCGGATTAACTGTGCTTGGGAAATTAATTATGTTTTATACACACGGTTTAATTATTAGCTGCTTCTTGAGGGTCAGTGACTGCGTGCCCACACGGCAGTGGTAAACCGATTATCTTAAAAATCTCGACAACGCACATTATAGTCTTCATCTTCACCCCCCATTCTACGTAGTACATGTTTATATCCTGATTAACTTTTCAGTTGCATTAACGTTTGTTTTATCTGGACGACCCCTCTCCATTTACTTTGTAAAGACGGCCCAACTGTAAATGTTGTCTGAAAATCTATGGACTGGTACAGCCGTGAGATTTGTTCAAATGAACTCGTTATATGGTCAGGTATTCAAAGCAGGCATTGAGCCAGCCCCCTTTGGAGTAACCTAGATTTTTGTCTCATTATGTTATTATTTCACAACATGTCATTGCTAATTTTTGATTTAAAGCTTTCGTGACTGCAGTAATTCATATTCTTAGCTCTTTCGGTAAAGTCACGTTGAAGGGAAACAATAAAATAATAAAATATATAAAACGTGACTTTACCGAAAGAGCTAAGAATATGTCATTGCTACCCAATAATTACGGAAAGTTGCTATTATAATGGTAATATTTATATATCCAGATACATTAATAACTGAACATTGTGAAAAATATATATAGTTTCATGATAATCTGTAATAAAACATTGGCTACAGAAAACAATTATGTATTATGAATATAAACAAACACCTCCTCATTGATTTCATCAACAGTAAAACATATTAGGAAGTGCTTGACAATCGGTTTTTTTAACAATAACCCTAAACTTTATATCTTTTTTTATACGTAAATGAGAGGCGTGGCGCATTCCTGGAATTTCCACATGGCTTAGTAGGAGGTCCTGGGCAGAGCAGGAGGGCTGTTTAAACAACATCTGCAGTTGAAGGGTTACACTTGCGAGGAAGACGACGAGCCGATTGGACCGCATCGCTTGTCGTTGGCCAAATTTGAGAAGGATGTGGCGGGGAAGGAGGGGCCCTGGCTTGCGAGAGTGGGGTTACTGGAAGTGGCGGTGGGGGGGGGCACTGGAGAAAGGAATGTGGAATCTCCTGAGGGAGGGGGTTGGGGGGGGTGTTATGGGCATGTCTGGACCTGTTTATAGTGCTCAGTATGTCACTGCTTGCTTAAAAATAAAGTCTGACTCGTCATTCGTAATCGTTGCCGTAGAAATAAGTAATAACTGAATGCATTCTTAAAAACTGGCGTTGGCTGCACTTACTGTGGTAGCTTATGCTCGGCTGTTCAAGTACCGTCAAAATGATCTAACAAGTCAATACTTTGACATTTGCCAGACGCCAATTACACGTGCCAGCACATGGAGATTACTAGACATTTAATTAGCCATGAAGAGCATCATACGCAGCGGACGTGGAATGCGATTCGCCTGCAGGTAGGAAAGCCACATTTAGAAGTGTATAACACAGTACCGTGACTTCCCTATAGTTCGCGATCCCAGCAGCCGTGCTGTTCTTGACACCCATGGCAATGTTTACAAACGGCTCACTAGCGCGGAATTTGTATATTACGACACATTAAGACTCCCTCGTCGTCGAAATGAATACTAAAACGGCGAAGTGGTATAGGCCCCGCAAAGTAATCTATTATCACTATGCTGGTGGGAATTTTATGGCGCGCAGCACATTACCCAGGCGTTAGAATTCAGAACTAAGGAGTAGCTCGCCGTTTAGTTTATCACCAACGTGCAGTATCACTGGCATGTGCCATGCCTAGCAGAGGACCAGACCGCCAATGTTAACTCAAACTTGGCATTTCATTTAGGCATTTCCCCACTGTCGACGAATTACCGACGAGAGAAGGTTGTGCACGTGTGATAGTCTAATACACGTGGGCATCTCTGAGCAGGCTGTGGCATGCATCCCACTCACCAGACGTGTCCCACATGATGAGCTCCACCCTGTGGCCTTCCAGCTCGAAGCTGGCGGTGTAATTCTCGAACACGGTGGGCACGTATTGCTGTTGGGCAAGAATGTAATCCGTCAGCAATTGGAGCTTACTACAACAGGGCACATGGAGCTAAACAATTCCGCAGATACTGCAACTAGCTCGGCCATGCACGCGCATTGTTGACATGACCCGAGAGGGCTTGCGTAATTTTTTATAATGGCTAAAACCAGTATGAGGCACTGTGAGCATGAAGAATGTGCAACAGAATGGAGGTTGTGATGTACACGTGCTCAGTTTTTTTATGTTAAAATAAAAAATAGCAATAACTTGTGTGCCAAATGGTTACGAATTGTTTTATACAACATACGAGCATACAAAATACTAAGCCATTTTTTTCAACTGCCCCTCGTATAGCGCTGTGTATCTCATAAGTGTGCAGTGTTATCATTTAATAATAATGCATTACTCCAATACATGGAAAAAGCACCGCATGTAATTAATATAATTCACTTAAACCATTAATTGACTTAATATGCAAACAGCATGTACAACAATCCTGTGCGAAACATAGGATTAACCCGGCTATATAAACTTCCTTTTAGCTCTACGTGTGTACGTGTACAGCCCAGCCCTACTGTCACAACCCACCGCTGGATGAGGGCCTCCCCGCACCATGCACTTTTAGCTAATGACGGGTCGGTTGCACTTTAGAATCCATAAATGAAATTGTGTGTGTGGTCTGGTGCTACGCGCTTGATGTATAAAGTGTGTCAGTCGGGAAAACATATACGTGTGTGAACATGCTGTCGAGTCACCGCACATACTGCCCCGACGTTAAGACTTACTGCGCATGAGACACGCGGTTCGCACATTGCGCACTGATGGGAGTGGAAAATGGGCTCTCGGACCGAGACCACTACCACCGCCACTTAGCCACTCGGCCAGCCTCATTTCCCAACACCCAGCGGAGATCGCCAAATGGCCTGTGTCCTAATGAATGAGATATTTTGCTTGGCTGCTTCTCGCTCAAGGAGTCATGGTCCAGGGTAGATTGTTGGGATTTTGGGGGTTCCACAGCCACAGGCAATCGATCAAAGCCCCGTCCGTAAATATATCATGTATTACGTATGTCACGCCTGCATAGACCTGTGGTGTACACACACGCAGTGTAATGTATACTGCCCGCACTGAACTACAGCACGTATTCAGGTTCCTTGGGATCTATAGCAAGAGCCATTGTTGGCCGATCCCGACCCAAAACCCTATCCACAGGAAGTGTATACACTGGATTGTATTCAATGAATGTTCCAACAAGGTTATCATGAATTATTTTTTAAAATGTACATCCCTTTCTCAGTCCACAGCTGGACGAAGGCCTCCCAAAGCTGTACCTGTCGTGTGGGCTTTTTGGCCATATTTCCCCCACACTAGGCAGTAAGGGTTGGTAAATGGGTGGCCCAGGTCAGGTTCAGATATTCACCACTCATGAACTCCTGTCACTGGGTTCTCCCTATCATTATTTATTAAATAATTCTAAACAATACTGCGTGGTTTAAATGTTGCCAACACATTTCTTATATGCTCAGGTTTTTGTTTAAACCTAAAAGTTTGCGCGAGCTTCTGCGGTACTACACAACAACGTTAAAGACAATCACAGCTAAGATGTTGACGAACACCCTGGAACTCGTCTCACTCCGATGTATGTCGCCAGTGCCTTGGTAGACACGTGGAAGTTGATGAGAATCGTTAAAATACAATGTTCACACAGCCAAGTGTGTGTGCGTGTGCGTGTAGTTATGGTTTCTAGTTCCAATGGCTGTCGAATTATATTATCAGTACTTAATAATGGACGATACTTTTAGGGACATCTAAATATACGATGGCCCAACACTGGCATGTGGTTGGAACCGTTTGCCCAACTGGGTTTGTGAACAAGTCGTGGTGATGATGGGCTTATTGGTAGTAGTGGTTGTCAAGGTTGGTGTAATTATAGTGGCGATGAAACTGGTGGTTGGTGGCCTGTGGACCAGCAGTGACAAGAAATTGAGGCTGAAAAGTAACCACAAGATGGCAGTGCTGCAAACGGGATTCTTCGGTCCACTCGAGTGGAGCTTTATGGTTATAATCATCACCCCGTACGCGATTATTCCGGTTTAATTTCACGTCAAACTCTCAGTAATGGCATTAGTAAATCATCACAATGCAGGACCCCCCCCCCCCCCAACAAAAAAAAAGAGTATTGAGATTCAGCGAGGCTTCTTCACTAGCAGTGGTAGTTGTCAGCGGTGTAATATAATTCGGCTACCTGTACAACACAGACTAGGGGGGGGGTGGTGGTGGTGGGAGCATTCGCGCAGCGGTTTGGTGCACTAAACTTTACTGCGAAACCCAGCAACCGCGACCGACTTTGAATCCCGGCCACGGATTATCATCATCATCAGTGCAGAGTTACACAAAATCCGCACGCAAAGGTTCGTGATCAAGTAAGGAGTCTTTCACCCAGCGGTGGATTTGACAAGCAAGCTGTACATTGCGTCAATGCAATGTAACGAGTCCGAGGTGACATCTACACCGAGGTACACGGAACGTCGAAAATCAACTCGCGGGATACATTAACATCGCAGAGAATCGTCGACGGCCTGGGGGAGGCCTTCATCCAGCAGTGGATCGACCGTGGCCCGATGATGACCGATGACACACGAGCAGCCATTCGCCACCGACGATGACTGGCAAACAAAACGCGCGTAAACCAGGCTAGGTTCACTTTGGGGCTATCGCGTGAAACGTGGAAGACGTCGCTGCTTCTGCTGCTGCTGCTGGCAAGGGGCAAGGGACCCAGACGCGAACCGACTGGAAATGACTTGGCAGATGCGCCACCAGTGCTGCCCACTGAGCCACCACCACCATCATCATCATCGTCGTCGTCGTCATCATCACCGCCACAATTAACATCAATAAGATGGCTCGGGGTGGGGGGGGGGGGCAAAGATAAAGATCCCCCGTGTAGCCTGAACAGACTGTAGGGGCAAGTGCTGTTAGCGAGTAGCGCCTGTGAAGGCCGGACCGGCACACGAGGGGGTGGGTGGGTGGCCAGCACCACCACGCCCGGCCGCCTTTGTCTCCCCGGTGGCGATGTTTACCACGCACCGCACCGGGCACTCCGTTGAGGCCGAGTCGACCTAGGGGAGGCCCAGGGCCTGTTCAGACAATCGTCACCACTGGGTGTTGGCCAGTGAGCGGGGAATCGGACTCGGCTCGCCGGGTTCGTAGCGCGCTAACCCCTCTACACACACAGAGAGACACAGACAGAGAGAGAGACAGAGAGAGAGACAGAGAGAGAGACAGAGAGAGAGACAGACACAGAGAGACAAACACAGAGAGAGACACAGAGACAGAGAGACAGACATAGAGAGAGAGAGAAGTATCTCACCTCGGGGTAAGAATCCTTGGCGAACGCGTGGAGCAGCGCCGTCTTGCCCGAGCGACTGTCCCCGACCACCACGACCTTGCACCTCGCGGGGGGCGCATCGTGGGGGGCTCCTCCTGCCCCAGCGGGGGGGGGTCGCCGTGGCCCCGCGGCGGGGGCTGCTCGAGTCCCGGGCAGCCGAGGGCAGCATGGCTTTAGCAGCAGACGCTGGGAGAGCGAAGTGGAGGTGGTGGTGGTGGTTGGTTGCTGGTAAGGCGACGACGGCAGGGCCAGCTAGATCCCGTGGGCAGAGGAGGCGCTTGGCTTGGTTCAAATCGGAAAATAAAACGAAATCGTTGTGAAAACCAACGCCGAGCGAGCGAGCGTGCGTCCTTGGTATTTTGCTGGTTGATTGATGTTATATATCCGCCTGCTGGCCCACGGCACGTTACAAACGTGGCCTGTGACAAAAAGAGACAATTCTGAAACACCGACGAGAGACGCTGCCCACCGCTGTGGCAATTCCTATCGTGTGGGACGATGCGCACTTGGCTTTCCCTGCAGGTCCTAACACACACAGACACGCACTCTCTCTGAATGCCTGTGTCACCCTCCTCTCTCTCTCTGCAATCCTGCGGCTAATATCTCTGGAGCGAGCCCGTGCTTACGAAGCAGCACGTCCAAGGAGGAGCGTCCGCGGCGCACTGCGAACAGTGAGCGGTTCTGGGCCCTCCTCCGCGCTTTTATATCGTGCGCGGCACCGCCTCCACCAATGAACCAGCAGCAGCAGCGGGCGGTTTGAGAGGCTTTGTTTGCTGGGTATGGGGGGGGGGTAAGGAGGACTAAAGTTGTTGGGGGGGGGGGTGGTGGTGGTGGTGGGGGGCCGTTGTGTTAGCACAGAGGAGCTTGGAGGGGAGGAGGCGCTTGGGTGGTGGGGGCCTCGTTCCTGTTATGATTGGAGGGAGTTCAGCAGGAGGAATTGTCTGGCGTGATGCTGTAATTTACCAAGACGTGCGAAATGCGCCTTTCCGATTCGAACGCGCCTCGCCGTTTCCCCAACAGACCCGGAGCGACCTCATCTCCTTTCCCTTTGTAAGCGGTGAGGAATTCATCAAATATCTCTCCAGGCTTTCTCAACGCACCCCTGCCCGCTTTGCCCCTCTTTTGGGTTTTTCTGAATTTTCCCAATGTTTACTTTGTGACGAAGACGTTGTTACTTCGATCCACCGTACTATTCAATTGTGTTCGGTCGATCATCGTCGTTTCCCGCAAATTGCTGTGAACCCCTACGACCTGAGTTTGAATCAGAATATGTATTTAGACTGGAGAAATCCGATGAGCCATGAAGGTATTTGACACAGATGTCCAGGAGGATGTGCAGAGGGACATCTGTGAAAAATATATTACTCCGACTGGAGTAATATCTGAACCATATCTGAGCAGTCGTAGGGCTGTCTGAGTAATATACAGCTCCATAGCTGGTGAAAAAGACTGTGAAAATGTTTATTCACCAAAACCGCATTGACCAGCGTGGTGAAGTATGGTCAGACAAACTCCCATGGCATTGCATTGAGAAAGGGAGGTCATACTATACAATACATACTTACGCGACATGAATGCAGTGTACAATGTGTTCATGTGTTGTCTATACATTGATTAATTATTACACTATTTTCTATTGAAGTTGTGTTCAGTTAAAACATACATATTCTGTATTTTGTCGAAATCCTGGTGTTTCCAAATTGGTTACTAAGTTTTCACATATTTGGTAACTTGGTAAACGACAACAATTGTGCTTCCTAATCATATAAACAGTGACTTATTCACTTTCGCGGGTTTATTTGATTAGCAAGCACAATTCCCATTGTTTTCATGTATGGGGCTTTCCAGTGAAACGTGTTTACCGGTGAGCTTAGGTAAGATATACGTGGGGAAGGAGAATTGAGATCAACATAATGAAATAAAAAACATTCACGCGTCGAACACGAGTCGGTTTTTAAAATGAAAACAGCAATGCAATCTAAAGGTTTGATCAATGTTTTTAATGTTGTTCTCATCATTAACTATTTACAGCAAAGACCAATGTAGACATCGAAAAAATATGAATGATCGTAAATTCTTTATTAATCATTTTTTGAAAAATATGGCACAAGGCTGTGAAAGGTCAACACTCAACCAACAGTTAACCTGACTGGAGTGTTCTTATATAGACTGTATTATAAATTATCGAGTCATATCACAACCCCAAAACTTGACAAATTATTGAATAGTGAGCCATGTGGATTTTTAGAGTACTGTAGTTTTTAATATTTGTGTTAAACATGGCAGAGAGACACTCTTAAAGTATCTTTACTCTGTAGAAGTGATAACCCTTCGAGATGCGTCACTTAAAACGGAAGAATGGGAGAAATATACTTGGAAAAATATCTACTTTACAACGTGAACCAGGACTCCCCTGGCTGAGTGGCATTTTCTGTAGCCGCACAAAGCCGTTTGGAACTCTCTGCTCACTGCACATCCACAGCATCCAAGGACTATCCACCTTCAAGGCTCTCATCTGTCCAGGCTCTTAACTGTTCAGGACCTCACTGGGTTCAGGTTCTCACCTATTTAGACTTTCACATGCACAGGCTTTCATCTGTTCAGGCTCTCACCTCTCCAGGGCTCTCACTTATCCGGGCTTTCGCCGATTCAGGCTCTCAACCATTTCATGTTGGCATACTAGGGACTTTGAGCTCTGGCTCCAAAACTCCCGAGACCTCAATCAAACAATGCGTCCGATTCATGAAATATGTGCGTGTCATAAAATGATCCTTATGGCGGTACCCCGGGATACCAAATCATACAAAATGGCCGAGGCAATTAAATGTTTTGTTTCTGGGACACTAGTTTTTACAGGGGTGTCCTTAACTCTACGACTGGGGTAACCAATCAATCCGACATCAGTGCTACTCCGCGATGTCGAAACGAAGCGAGGATGATTGCGCTGAAACTCTGAACGCTCCTATGCACCAGTTAGTGTATTGTCTACAGCTCGTCGAGATCAGTCGATTACCACTCAGAGTCACGTGGGCAGTGTATGCAGGAGGCTCCTGTGATGTTAATTATCTAAACAGCAGTGCAGTCTTGCAACATTCGTGGGAAAGGGAACCAATTTAGTTGCAGTCATTTTTACTTTAAACGTTTCAAAATTACCGCGTGGTATTTGTACATTATAGAGCACATCTACACAGAATTGCATAATGTCCTATAATGGCATAAGTGATGTAATTAAATATCAACTCTCACTTGTGTATATACTGCACCGAGTACATGATTACTGAACTATTGTATGCTTTAAAATATAAACTCCATAATGGTGCATTATATGATGGTGCATGCCTGTAATCCAGCACTTTGGAGGATAGGGTTGGTGGGTCATATTGATCATTGAAAAACTCAACCTGCTGGGCTGCTAAGTGGGTAGGAAATTACAAATAAACGAATTTGTTCAGACATTTCAGTGTTTTTGCATCACATGCATTGTTTTTTTTCTGCAGGTACTCCGGTTTCATTCGAAATGCAAACCAGGATGCCCTGTACCCTAATACATCCGAATGCAGGGCCTCTTTAAAGGAGTTTTAAAACTCGTTGAGGCTTTCCTTAACGAGTAATTTTGTATTTTAATCAAATACATTATTACTGCATAATGCACACAGAACCAACGGTCCAGTGCAGGTAACTGGGGCACATTTGGCTGATTGAGCATGGGTACTATCACAGATAAGTCCAAGGACTGGAAGGTCAGAGCAATCGGGGACGAGGTGGTGGGTGTACATCGGAGGAATTGTCAAATTTTGTTACGGTCCACAGTGTAAACAGTCTGCAAGCTCCCATAACCGCATAAGCAACATAACGTGCAATTTCCTTGATTAAATAGACTCCCTTACGTGTTTCATATTACAATTTACCAGGGCAGGAATATAATTATTTCAAGGAATTTTACTATGTTTAATGGATGGGAAACAGCGTTGAGCTCTTCGTTGATTTCCGAACCCTAAGAGGCTTTGACTCACCCCGTTAGTGGGTGAGGTGAGATTTCCTGGGCAGCCGGGTTCTCAACACAGAGTATGCAGGTACTCAGAAAGACCAAGACTGCCACGCTTTAAACTGGGATTTTTAAAGCAATTCGTCCATTCACAATTCTATAATTTATTCACTTCCATCGTTTTTTTATTGTAATTGGAATTTCCAAACAATTGCATTTATGAAAAATGCTTCACTCAAAGAAAACCAGTGGCTTTTTTTTTGCAAAGGGTGTAAACATCTTGTGAGAAGAAGAAGCAGAAGAAATAAAAACTCAGACGGGTTTCCCAGGGTTGTGTGAGGCCAACAGAGAAGGGTAGCCGCTTGCATGGATCTGGTCCGAGACCCTCTCGATAATTTGTGCCCAGAAACATTTCGAGCCTGGACGCCACCACTGGCTGAGGAAATTCCTTTCCCGTGACCCTGCTGTGCCGCTCACACCGGATACACCGCCGCAGTCCGGGTGACAAAATGATGAGCGTGATGCACAACGTGGGGATCACAGGGGTGGCGGGTGCGAGCGACTCCATTTGACCTCCTGAACCTCTCCCGCCCTGCACCCTCATCGCTTGACATGTGTGCCCTCTTTGAGTGGGCGTACATGCAGATGTTCGCTTCATTGCCGATTGAAGACCTATCGAAGTGTATACGGATCGTGACCGCCCTCTCCTCCCCCTCGCAGAAGGACGCCGTTGAGAAATGAGTGCCCTTTGCCCTGGAGGACGTCGCTTCACGGTACTGGAATAATGTGAAGCAAATTCAGCGGTAGCCAACGATCTGGTGTTGTAAAACATAACAGTTGCTCTTTGGCACGGGCTTCGTTAGCTACTTGTGTTGACCCAGGTCTGTTTTTTTGTTCAAAGCCATGTAAAATAATGCTACAGGTTTTTTTCCCCATTCAATGCGCGCGTACATTTGGGCCGAATTGTGTTACATTCCAATAAAATTTTGATCTAATAAAGTCAACTAAAATATTTTAATTCACAAATACAGAATATACACGTCACACAGCCCGTTGTCACTCCACCGGTGGCTTAAGGCTTGTCCGCTTGTCAGCTTTGGTTGCTATATGGAGGATGGGGGTGCAGCTGTGGCTGGAGATCGAACTTAGGTCGCCGGGTTAATAGTGCAGTGCGCTCGCTAACCACCGTGCCAGCGCTTCCCCCCAAGCCTAAAATAAACAGTTCAAAATATTGTACAGTATATTCGGTCGTGACTTTGCATTTTGT